AGGCGAATGTAGGGTGTTAATAATAAGTAGCGGTATAGAGATACTTTCAAGGTGTCAAGTCGGTGTCATATATATATATGTATGTGTGTGTGTGTGTGTGTGTGTGTGTGTGTGTGTAATTGAACGATTACTCTTCGAATGAATAAATCATATTTTATTACCTTTATAACATTTTACTTTTAAACAAAATGTTCACGATTTTTTTTCTAAACTTTATAACGTATAATGAAAGTGTTTAACTTTCCCGTAATAACCATAGCTATTGTTAATATAATCTGTCATAAACCTTTTGGTGGAGACATCCTGGGGAAGAAGATAATAGGAAAATAACAGCTTGAAGATAATAACATAATAAAAGTTGACAGCCGATATTTTTAAAGATTGGAATATGACTTTGAACTCTGAATTCCGAAGATTAAATAACTAATACATTCATAAATGAACTGAGACATTTCACGGTAAAAGCTTGTAGGAAGGAAGAAATAACTACCACTCCCGAACATATAGACAGGTTATTCTTGAAGACGTGTATGCCGACATACTTCAAGATACCTCAAAATACTAACGATTTATGAGATTAGTTATTTAAAGTCCATACATCGACAATTATTATTTTGTTAATTGTCGCCATTTTCTTTTTACTTTTCTAAACAAAATGTAAAGATAAAGATCACTTTTAATTATGCCTAAAAACTCGTGTAATTTTTGTAATAACATTTTTTACTATTTTTTTTCAACGGACTAAAATTCTTCTGCGATTTTGAGAAGGTGGGGATATCCTGACGATTAACAGTACTAGAACTGCAATGCGGAAACCCTGTTTAGATTTCGGTTGAAACAGTTCCTGTTTATTTCATACTATTGTCCTTGGGAAAAGCATGAATACATACCTCCTTCCAGCTCCGGGTAAATCACAGGAAACAAAGTGTTGAAGCCGTGGTCTCTCACAAGCTACTGGATAAACAGGAAGCTAGACTGGACAACTCTACAAAGAGCAACTGTGATTCCAGACCAAAAGTGAAGCCTCTAAAGCAGGCTTGTTTCAATTGTACCACGAATATTAGGCTACGGATTGCTAGCAAACGCTCAGTTCGCTTTTAAGCGACCCCTAGCACTATTTCCCTCCTCAGTAATTTTTTTTTTCAACTCACACAGGAAGATATCACTTGTGGACTGTAACACTATTCGACTATATATATTGTTATACTGGAACACACATATTCTATAGTTAATAGACTCTCCCACCTATAATAAGTAGGAGTAGTAAGAGTAACGAGTCGCTCAGTGGGTTGGTCAGTCAGTCGATGTCGGACGACCGTTAGTCGGATACTAAAAGTATCAGCGACCACAACTAGATTTCTCTGCGTCATTACCTATTATATCAAGTTCCTAACGTTTTGTATGTCGAACCTATTTTAGGACCGACTTAGTACAAATACAAGCCTACACTGTGAAATCACTACATAACACACACACACACACACATATATATATATATATATATATATATATATATAGTGTTAATACATATTCCGAGTACTTTACGGTGATATTCTGAATATATATTTTTATATATATATATGTTATATATATATATATATATATATATATATATATATATATATTCAGAATATGATCGTAAAGTACTGGAAATATGTATTAACACCCTACAGCCTTCCGACAGGAGAGAGGTTAAAAATGAGAAAGAAGTAAGTTCACGAATATTTGTTGAAACAATGATTCGTATACAATGATATCGACATTGTTACGAAGAGGACAATTGAAGAGAAATTGAATCTTTATAAACAATAGTGTCAACAAATTACCTTAAAACCAAAACAGACACGACACAGAAAAATAGTAAATATTGCCCGCATAAAGATGGATTAATATCAGTCACATTAAATGAATTCCAAAAAGTTAGATCAGAATATGAACAAAAATAGGTATGAGTGGGTAGGAAATTCCTCAGGGAATTGTGCAAATAACTACAATTTGATGATAAAAAGGCGCTTTGAAATTTTATGCGACCCAAGATAATAGACAAAGAAAGCAAGAGGAAATGACTAACCATTCATTGATAGAATGTCAGCAAAAGAGGCAGCTCAATGTGTGAGCTATATATTGGGGACGTTAAAATCAAACCGGTGTAGTAAGAGGTTATTTATTCCTGCTATCATACAGAAATTGTAACACAAAGCTGAAGGGGAAATGGGGAGAGGCTGGTCTTCATTTGCTGTCTTAGTTAATTAGACTCACGACCAATTCCTTTATTACAATTTACTCCTTCACCACAAGAAACTCATCTATCATGACTCAATTCTGCATATACCACAATACCACATATTCATAGGTGACCTACAAAACATCCCATGGCATAAAAACTGATGAAATTCCAAAATGTCTTCTTTTTTTTTTTTACAAAAATATATAAAAAAATTCATGCTTAATGAAATGATTGGGAGGGGGTGACCAGAAAACGAACTGAAATGTAACTAAAAATTAAAAACTAAAACATAACAAATGTTAATAAGACCCGTCCAACCCTTAAAATAAGAGTGGCCGCTGTATTCTGCCGAAAGACAGAATCAAGAAGAATCATGGGCCATAACAAAATGCCGGCAACAGGCCGTGAGCAACGTTAACTAAGAAAATATAATAGTGTTTAACTTAACCAGGTGAGGGTTCACAGGAAACCGCCCCGTTACATCAAGGGGACATAAAAAGAGAAAATCAAGGCTAGTCCCGTTCACGCGAACCAATCTCGCCACAGTCAAGCAGGTGTAGAAACAAACAACTAAAATGTTGACATAGAAATGTGAAAGACATACCGTATATACACGAAAATAGTGGTGGGGCACACTATACACACGTGACTTTTTTTTTTTTGAAGAGTTTAAAAAAAAATCATGCACTTTCAGTGACCAGTTGCACTATACACAGGTAAAAAAATTTTGAAAGATTAAAATTCATGGAAAAAAAAATCAGTTGCCGTATTATATATGAAGTCGTCTTATACACGAGTAAATGCAGTAAACATAGCGGAAGATGCCTTTCAGAAACTGACCGAAGTAGTAACAGATCGAAATTATCCTTAGTATTACAGCAGGATTTTTCTTTTCTCTGTAGTGTCTAATCGCATATATTTTAGTAATTGTTGGACATTCTACTCACGGAGGAAAAAGACTCAAAACGACAGAGCTGTAATTCTCCAGAAGAATACTGAGAATTCTATGGACCGAACATGTGAGCAAGGTTTTAATGAAAATAAGAATTACAAGGAAACTCTTGTTTACAATCGGAAAGAAACAGCTGAATTTTTGGAACATTATAATGACGGATCAGAGAATTTACAGAAGTGATTAAATATACTTTAATATTTTAAAAGAATATTCAGTATTAGCATTTAGATAATAAGCATTAAGAAAAATATACGGAAAAAACAAACAAAAATCCTAATATGCAATTATGCTGTTTTAATGTTAATTTTAATAATGTTAATATTTAATGTCAACATTAAAACAGCGTAATTGCATATTGGGATTTTTGTTTGTTTTTTCCGTACATTTTTCTTCATACTGTTGGATCTATATCCATATATTTGCTTACATAATAATAAGCATTATAACATAGCACAAATAGCTATATTGTAGAAAAAGCAATTTTTGATAATACCCGCATTTTTTTACGTATTTATAGTTATTTTTTTAAACTTTTATCACAAACGTCGTTTTTGATAAAATATGTTTTGGTTTCCTGTAGTTGTGGATAATATACATTAATTACTTTTGTTTTGTTTAATAAATACCTATTTGTGCTTCGTTGTTGACATTAACAGCTATTTTCTGATGCGTTGATATTTTGGAATAATGCAATTATAAAAATTTAAATTTTATCTCTCTGACAGATGTCGCGATCTGTTAACATTCGGAACATACAAGAAGAGGCAAAAGAAGCAAGGGAATAACCCTAACCTATTTAGAGAGTTCGTGTGAATCGATAGCAGAACAAAAACAGATGGTAAAGTGTCAAGATCTATTTAGATCAACTAAAGACATGAAGTTGCAGAGAGCCGCGATTGGCCATATCCTGAAATATGGCGCATAAGAGGAAATAAAATTTATAATTTATTGTGGATGTTTCAGCAAAACTCAGAATAAAATTAAAAACCAAAAAGTTAGAAAGATTTTTTAAATTTTTTTCTCAAGAAGTGAAATCATGGAGTTGACATTTGTAGCCACCATTTTTGGTGTGTCTGAAACAGTTCTGAAGAGCCTTGCAAAAAGAATGGAAGAACTGAGAAACTGAGGAAGATTTAAAACCATTCACGTATCGACTGAAAAGTGTGCAGCATAGAGGAGACTTACTGTCACTTGACCTTGAACTGTGATCTCCATAGATATCTGGTAGAAATATGTAAAAAAAGAAAAATGGAGAAATAATAATTTTTATTTCTTTTACGATACAACAGAACAAATGATATTTATAAAGGAGGTTTATCTTAATATCTGACACTTGTATCTTTGTTTGTTGAATGTTAGAAAGTGCCTCATCTTGACCTTGTCATTGCTATTATGGTTGCTAGTGGGTCTTTAATTGTGTTTTGTCGTCGGAGAATTGATGTCGTTTCTTGGGAATGTCTCTGAAGCAATATTGATGCAGTCATGTCCCTAATCGATACAAATGAACATTAACTGCAAAGTCGACATTTTCTTAATTACTAGGTTATGTAGAAAGGCAATAACGCCTCCAGAAAGGGGGGAAAAAAGGAAGGAGAGGAGAATGGTGGTTTCATTTTGAATACCTATTCCTACTTAGCTAGACATAGATACATAGCTACATATACGTGTAGTGTATGTATGAGTGTGAATGTAGGATGAATTGTTAATGGATGATCACAAATGACTGAAGAAGCCTTGTCGATACACAATATTGCAATTTGAACTTCACCCACCAGCCCATATGATTAATTTCCTGTCAAGTCTTTATATTTAATTCTGATGATATATCTCTTTCACTCCACCTTTTCTTTCTTTCTTTCTTTTCTGTTTCCTTTTTTTTCTGCTTATTTCTTTCTGTCGTTCTTTTTCTCTTTCTCTCTCTTTTTCTTTCTTTCTTTCTTTCTTTCTTTCTTTCTTTCTTTCTTTCTTTCTAATTCTCTCTCTTTATCTTATTCTCTTTCTTTTCTCTTTCTTTTTCTCTCTTTTCTCTTTTTTCTTTTCCTCTCTCTCTCTCTCTCTTGTCTGCACTTTCTTTCTTTCTTTCTTTCTTTCTTTCTTTCTTTCTTTCTAATTCTCTCTCTTTATCTTATTCTCTTTCTTTTCTCTTTCTTTCTCTCTCTCTTTCTTTTTTCTTTTCCTCTCTCTCGTCTTGTCTTCTCTTTCTTTCTTTCTTTCTTTCTTTCTAATTCTCTCTTTATCTTATTATCTTACTTTTCTCTTTCATTTTCTCTCTTTTTTCTTTTCCTCTCTCCCTCTCTCTCTCTTGTCTGCTCTTTCTTTCTTTCTTTCTTTCTTTCTTTCTTTCTTTCTTTCTTTCTTTTCTCTCTCTCTTTATCTTATTCTCTTTCTTTTCTCTTTCTTTTTCTCTCTTTTCTCTTTTTTCTTTTCCTCTCTCTCTCTTGTCTGCTCTTTCTTTCTTTTTTATTTGTTTAATTTTCTTCTTTCTCTCTTTTTCTCTTTCTCTTTATCTCTCTCGTTTTTTCTTTCTTTTTTTTCCTTTTATTTTTCTTTCTCTCTCTCACTTGCCCTGTTAAATTACCTGCTAATTCTACTTTGTTTCTCTTTTACTCGTTATCAATTTGGACTTCTATACAAACTGCCTTTGTCGGAATCTAGGATGTCAGTATTGTTGCTGACGCTAGACTGTATTCCATCCCAGTCAGAAATCGGTACGGTTTAGATAACTGGATATATATTTATCCTAGAAATGTATAACTCTAATCAAGTTAACTATAAGCTTCTTTGATAATCGCTTATTTAAACCACAGGGATATTGCAGATTTTTTAGAAAAGATACAAAAATAGCACATAGTTTTCATGTAAGAAAATCTGCACTGCATTAAAAATCACTATATGAAATACGTGCTTCTATAAGACTATTAGAAAGATAAATGTTTATACAATGGAAAAATACAAGGATGCGCTAAAGGTGTTCGGAAGATCGTGCTGTGATAATTATTTTCTTTTTTAGTTGGAACGACTTGGCGAACTGTAAAAGCCGCAATTAAAAACATCTTTCGAAAGATTGTGTTGCGCCAATATATATTTTAAAACGTTAATCGTTACGTATTTGTAGAGTGGGGGTTTTAGGCTATTTAAAAGCATCACGAGGTGAGCTGAAAAGATTTCGGTCTGACTCACGTAGTTAATCAAATTAAAATCTAAGACGAAGATATTATATCTTTTAGACACATTTTATAAGATGTTTAATCATTTTGATAACTAGCCGAATAAATATCTGTATTTGGACAGAAAAGTAAGTTGTAATAGAAATTATCTTTAACTCTAATATTCCTAAAATAAAATCCTTATTTTCTCAAGTTCTTCTTGCCATTATCATATGTCCATTGACATACACAGAAACATCTGAAATTTTACTGTTTGTATTAATAATAATAACGAATTCAGCAAACATTTTATCACTCTCTTACATACTTCAATAACATTTTTAAGTTAAATCTTAGTAAAAAAATATTTTGACTTATTTAGATAATTCTGTAAAAGCTTTGTTTACTACGTTCGACTAATTTGTAGTAATGTGAAATGTCAGATGACAATAGTTACTTCGAATGATGCAAGAAGTAAAATCGTAACTAACGTTGCTCGACTTAAAGAATTCTATAAAAAATTTAATATTTTAAAAAATTATTTACTGTAAGTCCACTTTAAAAAAAAAGTAAGTATTTGGAACTTAAGAATACATTTATTTTACGCTTTCATTAAATGTAAACAATGCTGATATTTTTTTTCTGATAACTGAATTTTGACAAGGTAGATATAAATTGCTTCTATACAAATACGATTGATTAAAAATCTTGGATCTTTTGTGTTAAATCACCCCAAATAATGTAAAGTTACTTATCACAAATATTAATTCACCCCAAGAAATTATAATTTTTAAATCAGTTTGTTTTTTTTTTATTAAATTTTTGGCACTCTTTAGAAATTATAAATTTTAAATCAAAATTTGTTTAGCTTGCCTCGCAACAACTCCAACCTTCAGAATGAAAAATTACCAAAAATCAGAGTTATTCACATTTCATAAGTGCGGATGATATTTGAGGTATTTACAAGGAATTTTTACAATTAAAAAAAAAAACGAAAAAAAATGGTTTTGGCTTGTTTATCGGAGTGAGTACGAAGGTACAGTGTAACCCGGATATAAGAGAGTTGTCGGGACCGGAGAAGAAGTCTCTTATATCCGGGTTTCTCTTATATCCGGATTTGATCTATTTTGTTTAGGTAAGTACGGGCTCTAATTTGGGACCAGAGAAAATCTCTTATATCCGGGTCTCTTATATCCGGGTTACACTGTAGATCCAACACTTAGAAATAGCGCACTCGAGTCACTCACATTTGGGATGATCGCAAAGGTCAGCCCAACTGGAGTGCATTGGAAGAACCTCACTCTTTGAGAATTTGGTGTGAATTTTAGTAAATATAATTTTTTTATTCTTTTGGTGCGAATTAGCAGAAAAAAATCCAAAATCTTTATCGATTGAAACATTGCTTATGTATTGTGATTTTTATTTTTAAATTTGAATAAAAAATAACACAGATGAAATATTTATTAAAATATGCTTGTAAAAATTTGAATATTAAATTGTTATTAAAAATTAAAAAGATTAAATAATACCACTTACGTTGTAAACGCCATTTGTTAATATACATACTTGCTCGCTGAAAAACAGCACAGCATGATGAAAAGAAACCCCAAAATAAATTTAAAAAAAAGTTTAATGTTTGTTATTATTTAGAGGAGAGACCAATGTCTTTTATATTATTTTAATAAATTTCTTAATCTTTTCTCGCACGTTTGAAATTTTTGTTAAAAATCTTGTTTTTTTTTTTTTCACGTCAGCGGTCGACGTTAATATACGTTTAATGTTTTTGCGCTATTTTCCCGATGAAAAATATTGGTTTGGAAATTCTTGCATAAATCAAATAAATGTCAGATTTTAATTAAACTTTCAGGAATTATTCACAAATGAATAAAATTATTTTTTAGAAAATCTTGGTAAAAATATTTTGTTTTCCAATGTTATCGCCACTTACTTAATTTCATGAAATTTCGAGAAATTAAATTGCAATCTCAAAATTATTTAAAGCAGGACTTTTTGGAGAATGTAAATCATTTTTTTTCAAACTACTACTCATTTTCCCCCTACCCCACCAAAAAAACTGCACCGAATCTTAAAATAAAAAACAATAAAACTATGACATTATTTAATTAGAAAACTTTTAATTGCTTTTATGAATAAGATTTATTAAAAACACTATTGTTATAATTAAAAAAAATCGATGAATAATGAATTTATACAAGAATAGTTTTCATGTTTTTAATTTTAATTATAACATTATAAATCGTTTAAAATTCTGCATTACTTCAATCTGGTTAGGTAATATTGTTATTAAGTGAAAACTATATTTACGAATCAAAAACAGAAAAGATCAATAAAAATCATTTACACCCAATATCTTTTATGTATGTAAAATATTACGTAACTGTCTCTTGTTTGAAAGTATGGTTGACCATACACGGCATAATCAGAAAATAAGAGTTATGACTATAGTAAATTACGGAGAATATTTTCTAACATTTGTAAGATTACTGAGTACTTAAAAATTTATTTAAAAATGGCGCTCACCCGTCATTTTCTTAAATTGGGTTTTAACGCGTAAAGTCTCGGTAGAACAACAGTAAAGGTGTTGACAGATTTTATCATCACTTATCATCGCTTGTGATCTACGAATGATATCGACGGTGCTAAGCGCGTAATCACCGTTACAGTTTGTTTTAAAAATCCATTCCTGTGTTATTTTGAACTTAAAATAAATAATTTTTCATGTCAGATTAATCATATTTTAAATCAATTCCTCAAATAAAGTTTCAGAAAAGTATATTTTATTTTTGGAAGATTTTTAAAACCGAGAATTAACTTTTGTTTACAAATGAGTCAGAATGTGTCAAAAATGGCCGATTTTGTGAAAGCGACCAAAATGATGAGATTCCAATCAATATAATTTCTGTTTGAAATACACCAGAATATTTTGCTTACTGGAAATAGTAAATTTAATCATTTAGCTTTCAATTAAAGCTAAAATGAAAGCTTCAAGAATGCTTTTGCATTTTTAAAAATTCATTTTAAACCATAGGCATCGAAAATTCAGTGGAAGTGCCTACATAAAAGTTTGATAGATTTGTTGCGTCTTAGCTGTACGGCCTGGACTGTTTTGTTTCACTGGTGTAAAAATTTTGCCATGCGCAACTATATAATGGCTAGGGCCACTTTGTTCATTTCTTACAAAATGCTGCATCGTCTTTTAATAGTATCTACTAATGTTTATCTTTTAATAGTACTATTTTAGTTGCTTTTCAGGTTGATAACAATAACCTTCCTGATAATGACCAGAAAGTACACTAGCTCTATTGGACAGTTTCACCAAAATATTTTTTCACATATGCGAAAAATTATTCCCAAATTGGACAAATGTAATAAAATCAAATTTAACTGACACTTTATTAGCCAATTTTAATAAAACTTGTTTGAATGAATTTTTTCTGCCTACTTGTGCATATAGGATATTGAACTTACCTTCACTTCCTTGGTTGAGGAGTCTAAAGTCATACCAGGCTTAATCGGAGATTTTCCTTAAAAGGGGGACGCAGGTTCGAACCCTGCCAGAAGGTACAGTTTCTTTAAGACTCTCGAATGCACAAACCGGTAAGCACAAATTTAAACGGTTTATAAAAAAAGGATGGCGACTCACGTATCAAAGACCATATATAGCGTTTATGAAGAATTAGATTTTCTTACATGTAATTTAAAATTTGGGTAAGAACGTACAAAGTTTATAGATATACTGTGGACATAGGAATCTACATTGCATGGTGATTATCTATTTCACATTCAATGCAATTTTCTCACCTAAAAATTGCATTGAATGTGAAATTGACAATCGACATAGTGTTAATTCCTATGTCCATACTGTATATATATATATATATATATATATATATATATATATATATATATTATGGAGTTCACCCCTTTTTCATACAAGTGGACTCGACCAGTGTGTACTTGTACTACTGCCGGTGAATACCCGGAGGTCGGAAGTGATACAGTGAGAGTGTGAGGTAACCGCTTTACCGCTTTGTAGGAGTCACAGCTGCGAGCACGTAGACTCAGAAGGAAGTCCTACTTCGATACTGAATTTCCCAAACCGTATATATATTATTATTGCTACTAACCGCATTTCTGGATCTACTAACCGTATTACCAATTGTATTATTACGTCAATACATTTATTTGCTATATTTCATTCCTGCGTTTGTCATTCATTTGAGACCGGATTTCATCTCAGAATCCACAACAATATATATATATATATATATATATATATATATATATATATATATATATACACCT